CATATATAGCGTTTTAGGGTTATTTCAACCGGATCCACATGTCAGAGCTACTCCCTTCTCTCCCCTTCCCAACTTCCTCTATAATCCGTACTACATATCTCTGATCCGCTGTCCGCAGGCCCTGTATTGCTCGGCAGTGCACACACAACAGCGACCTCTTTCTCCTGGCTTAGCGGTGGTGCGCACGCACACTTGAGTTTATTAGTTGTAAAATCTATGGAATAAATATTTAGTAGAATTCACTTTTTGCAATTTTTCATGAGTTCCCACTCATACAAAAGTAACGAGCTTGTTTATATTACATGAACCATCGCAATAATATATCTCTCTGTTTCAAATTATAGTCTCTTTAATCATGGGCGGATCTATATTCATGGTTGCCACAAGAAATTAGAAAAACAGTGATGATATTCATTTTTTCACCATATATGCACCCATACAATAAAAAGCTATGCACCCATAAGGCAAGCGCACCCCCCTCTTAAATTTGTTCTAGCTCCGCCACTGTCTTTAATTTTGCACTAAGTCAAAATTTCTATCTTTGACCAAATTATAGAAAAATACACCGACATATCAATATCAAATTTTTTCATTAAGTTCTTGATAAAATATGCTTAATTGATCATTTATTAGAATTTAGGGTAACATACATTTTTCAACCTCCAATTTGCAGCATAATCCAACTTTTAAACTTCAACTTTGCAATTGGGTAACACACAACCTCCAATTTTAAAACCAATTTTGATATGTAAAATTCATACTTAATTTATTTGAAATCATAAAGTATGAAACTAGTTTTAATTTTCTTTTAGAGTTATGAGTGCAACTATGAGCAATAAAGCAATATAAGAACAGAAATAAACCATTTCTAAATACCTATATATTAATCATAAACAAGGAGAGGTCATTTTTAGGAAAAAAATTGATATTTCTTAATTTGAAATAAATTATTTAGAAATTTTTAGATAGTAAATCAGATCTTTATTATTTTTACAGAGTAGAAAACCAACTTTAAATCCACTAGGAGGACCAACGTTTTCGATTTTGATCATTGAGGAGTAAAGGCTAAAGGCCCTGTTCGTTTCTCTTATAATCCGTTTTTTTCAGCTTGTTTTTCAGCCGGAACAGTGTTTTTCTCTCACAACAAATCAGCCGGAACAGTGTTTCGGCTTGTTTTTTCAGCGAAGCGAACGGGGCTTTTGTTCCTGTTTCATAGTTTAAGAATGAAAATCAAACTACACCACAAGTTTGAAGGTAAAAATGGACTTTCCTTAGAATTTGTAGATAATATTTTCTAAAAGGATTAAGTCCACTTTTGATCCCTTAACTATTGTGTTGGTTTAATTTTAACTCTCAACTACAAAACTGTCTAGTACTGGTACCCCAACTGTCAAAACCGTTTCCTTTTAGCACCTGGGCGGGGGCAAGGCTGTTTTGACTGGCGTTGAGCGGTTTTGACCACGCGCGGGAGCAGGCCGACCCAGGAGGGGAGGCTCAGGGCGCGCTGCGCATTTTGCATAAGAGACCCTGGATTTTCATGAAACTAACCTTCACTCCATACTACTATTCACATGAGTCATAACATTTGTATTTAGCACCCATACAAACCTTGTATTCACCTTTCCCAGTCCCTAGGCGGCACCAGAGAAGAGCACGCCACAGGGGGCGACGGCCGGCGGCCAATCCGGCCGGGAGGAGGCTCGCCGACGGCGAGGGAGGGAGGCGCGAGGAGCGCGCAGCCCACGCGCTAGGTCTGCAAGGCCACTGGTGCACAGTTGGGGTAGCGGCGGGGGCAGAGCGCGGCTGCCCACGCAAGCGTGGGTTCGCCGGCGATGGCGCTTACGTTCCGACAAGACGGCAGCGGTAGAGGTTTAATGGATAGGCGGATGAGAAACAGGGACTCACCGTGAATGCTTCTGTAGGGTCAGTTACGGGAGAGACGGCTCGAGGAAGCCTGGCCACGTGTATGGCGGTGCGCCGGTTCGCAGCGACGGCGGCAGTGGCCTACCCATCACGGCGAAGGTCCTCCGGCTAACCTGTTTCGCAGGCGGGACCAAGGCATCGTATCAGAGCAAAATCATGAAAAATAGCTCAGAGAAGTGCAGCAAGGCGAGTGCGGCCATGGCGATCTTAGTTCGGTGTCCATGGTGGCCGCGGCGGCAAGATCGACTCGGACGAGCACGCTGGTGCACGGAAGTAGTCAGGATCGCATCCAAGAGATAGCTAGGAACCTGAGGCAGTTGTGTACGAGATGAATTGGTGAGAGATGGATTGGGCACGACGAATTTTGGAAAGGGATGGAGGGACGGGCGGTCGGTCATGGCGATCGGGTTCTCGGCTTTTATAGCGACTCGGCAAAGGCGGGGCTGGGGCACACCGGCACTTGCTTGGCATCGAAGAAAGGCCAGAGGGCTATCCACGGAGGTGCCAACCGTTGGGGTGTGAGGCACGTGGCAGCGGCCAAGCACGGCACGGCAGCGCGAGGAGGCGATGTCGGTGCTGGTGTCGGCGTGGCGAGGTCATAGGGCTTCTTGACGAGCAAGGCAGGGAGGCAGTTTAGAGACAGGCCAATGCAGTGCGGGCGTGTGGCAAAAAGACCCAGGGGAAGTGCAAACCGAGCACACGAACAGGGGCTGCCATGCCGCCACCGAGCGAGCGCGCATGGGGGCTGCTGTGGCGTCACCAGGCCGCTTCTGCCAGACGCAGCCATGGCAACGGTGATGCGCGAGCAGGGTGGCGGCGCGAGTAGCACAGCTAGCAGGTTGCCGGCGAGCCATGGCCATGCGGGCCCACCGGCCCTGCCCCACCACACGGCGCTCCACCTCATCCTCACCCACCAGTCCTTGCGGAGCCCGTCCTGGCTCTCGCCGCTCCCCGCGGTGGGAACGGCACCGGCGTGGGGGGCGTCGCTGACGTGGGGGTGGGCGTCGCTGCCGTCTTGGCCGGCGTGGGGGGCGGCGCCGGTGTCGCTTGGGTCAGAGGTGGGGGGGGCGGCCGTCGATGGCGTGGCGGCGCTGCCATGGATACGGAGAGGGAGGCATGGTCAAAACCGCTCAGCGTCGGTCAAAACAACCTTGCCCTCGCGTCAGGTGTTAAAAGTGAACGGTTTTGACAGTTGGGATACCGGTACTAGACGGTTTTGTAGTTGATGGTTAAAATTAGACCAACACAATAGTTGAGGGGCCAAAAGTGGACTTAATTCTTTCTAAAACTTTGTCAAAGTTTGAGATATTTCACTTGTATAGTTTTGAATGGAGGGAAACATTAGATGCTTATATGGCCTGTTTGGATTATGGTGGATTGTCAAACATGGCTTCTAGAATCTATCATGAGCTCCAAACAACCACAACTTTCACCTTGCTTATACACTGCAATCTAGGAAGCTAATGCGACCCAGCTTCTTGAAGCTTTTGGACATTAAAATTACTTATACCCCTGCCTATTATGAGGCTATATACTGTGGTAATTTTACCCTGTAAAGCAGCCTACCTCAGCTTTTTACAAGCTATGAATCTAAAATACATTTTCAATCTAACTTTTAAATCCAGCTTATATCAATCTAGTTTTTATAAGCAAGCTTCTACAATTCAGGTGGTATTCAAACAATTACTTAAGGTCTGTTTCACATAGCTATGAACTATTTTATTTTTATCAATCATTTATTTTCAAAACAGCTTCATGTAAATCTGTTTTTTCTTCTCCTTCGCAAAGGCATGGGTTGACGTGAAGTTAAAAAAACACAAGTGGGTCTCAGCCTGCAGTAAAGACTGCTCTTGCCCCCACTGTGTGAGACAGCGCGCGCAGGGGAGGGAGCACGCGTACGCCGTCCTACCGGGCGCGACTGCCGGAGCATGGCTCGTCGGCACAGGGTGGGGGCGCGGCGGCGCTGAGCACGCAGGGCCGGGACGCTCCGTCGGAGGCGCGGGGCCCGGGCGCGGCCCACCGGAGGCGCAGTCGCTGGGGCGCAGCCGGTGGTGCGGTCTCGGCCACTAGCAGAGTGCAGGGAGGAGTGGGGAAAGAAAAGGCTCACGGGTTGCAGAAAAGGCCCACGGCGAGCGGCCACCGGAGACATCTTTCTCAGATCCGCCGCCGTGCGCGGTCGTGGACCCGCCACTGGGCGCAAGCGTGGTCCTCGCCGGGGGGAAAGCTCGGCCGCGGGCGGGCGCGAGCGTGGCCCTCACGGCTACCGGGGCGCGCAGCCCGCCGGGGCAGGGTCGCGGCCGCCGGGGGAGGCGCGCGGAGGCGCGGGCGGCGCCGCCGCCAGGCACAGCCGCGGGAAGGTACAGTCGCCAGATCTTGCAGCCGGCCGCGCGACGCGACTGCGTGCGAAGGCCACGGGGAAGATGTGCGATGGGGAAAAAATCCCGTGACAAAAATATAGAGAAAAATAAATAAACAAAAAACATTATAGTTATTTTATTTATTTGGTCCATCACAAGAAGCTATTTTGATAAATACTTTTTCTAAAACAACTTAGCTTCACCTAGAAAACTGATTGTGAAGCTATTTTTATAAAAAAACATTTTTATTAGTGAAGCTGATCTATGCGAAACAGCTCTTACTTTGAATCAATTTCCAAACATCTGATGCGAAAAGAAAACGAAAACGAAAACTCCCATATGAGATCTACTATAATTAGCCTGCTCGCTACAGCTGCAGCTGTTTCTAGTATTCTCTGTAGTACATGGTAGTTCTTTTTTGCAGCCATATCCAACAAAAAAAGTTGCTGTGAGCAGGCCAAATACCAACCTGATCCATTATTATAACCTCACAAATAAGTATTTCTTTTTCCATTTATTTTGGTGGCCCTTTATTTTGCTTCTCGAGACATCGTTGATCTGAGTGAGGCAGGCAGCCTCCCTATAAGAACGGCGGCTCATTCATCCCTTCGTCGATCCGTGTATTCTCACTTTCTCAGCGAGTGGCTACCAACGCAGCTCCGATCCCCCTTGGTCGTCAGTCAGCTCGTACGCGGCGACCCCTCTCCTGCCAGCACCACCATGTCGGGTAACATTGCCTTCGGCCGGTTCGATGACTCCTTCAGCGCGGCCTCCCTAAAGGCCTACGTGGCCGAGTTCATCTCCACCCTCGTCTTCGTCTTCGCCGGCGTCGGTTCCGCCATCGCATACAGTGAGCCAGTCATCACCATTAAATGTTAATTAGCTTTCGTGGTGGCATATATATATGGATCGACATGCACGCCCCAAGGCGATGCGTTTACTGACGGGCTGCATCGATCGATGGATTGTTCCAGCCAAGTTGACGGGTGGCGCGCCGCTTGACCCCGCCGGGCTGATCGCCGTGGCGGTGTGCCACGGGTTCGGACTGTTCGTCGCGGTTGCCATCGGCGCCAACATCTCTGGCGGCCACGTCAACCCCGCCGTTACCTTCGGCCTCGCCCTCGGCGGCCAGATCACCATCCTCACCGGCATCTTCTACTGGATCGCCCAGCTCCTCGGCGCCATCGTCGGTGCCGTCCTCGTTCAGTACTCTACCGGTGTGGTACGTCGAGTTCTGTAGAGATATGATGATGTACAGTTCGCCGGCAGGCAGCAGATCAAGCTCAGAAATCTAACGGCTGTGGCTGGCTGTGGCTGACAACTTTTCTTTAATCCCGCAGGCGACCCCGACCCACGGCCTGTCCGGCATCGGCGCGTTCGAGGGCGTCGTGATGGAGATCATCGTCACCTTCGGCCTCGTCTACACTGTGTACGCCACCGCGGCTGACCCCAAGAAGGGCTCCCTCGGCACCATCGCTCCCATCGCCATCGGCTTCATCGTCGGCGCCAACATCCTCGTAGCCGGGCCCTTCTCCGGCGGGTCCATGAACCCGGCTCGCTCCTTCGGCCCCGCCGTGGCCAGCGGCGACTTCACCAACATCTGGATCTACTGGGTCGGCCCGCTCGTCGGCGGCGGCCTCGCTGGCATCGTGTACCGGTACATCTACATGTGCGGCGACCACGCCCCCGTCGCCAGCAGCGACTTCTAAGTGCCCTGCCTCACGTGAGCAAAGGGTGCCGTCGCCGTCCCCGGTTCCTCTTCCTCAGTCATAGTGTTGGCAGCATGAAGTGACGGTTAGGCTGCGATGAACTCGCAGCATTTGTTTGGTTCTGGTGAAAGCCCCCAAGGCAGTGTGCGCTTGGATGATTGGTCCATGGTTCTCAATTTGTTCCTTCCTTTGTATTGTGGTGAGTGTGAAGTTAGTTGGGTTTAAGAACCAGTGACTTCGTTGAATAATTTGCAATAATTTAATTCAGCTTGTTCCTTCTACGAGGTCTGCTTGATTATTTTTTAACTGCTATTTGCTCGGTTTGTAAGATTACTGTTAGTATTGACTTTTAGTAGTAATAGTAACTTTTAAACTTTCGAGTGAATGTGGAACCAACAAGCTTCTGCCTCACTCACTTGCCCCTTGGTGGCGTCTCTTGGGCACCTTACAATGTACATATGGATGTCATGACAAAAATTGATCTATGGGGATGGTTTTTTGATTAATTTGTTTGAGTGTCAAACTTTAAATGCAATTTCTGTCCCAAGTAGTGAATATGTTTTCAATTCGATTTCAACCACCATGTCAGATCCCATATGTCTATATTATTTTTCTTTTAGTTGAAAATCAACATTCGAATTCAAATGTATCCCTTCAACATTTTGAATATGTGTCAAGCATTTTAGATATAACTTATTTGATGTTGAGCAAGACTTCACATGTTCTTGAATCAAACTGACAAAAATGTTGAAGCATGCAAAAACAAACTATCTATATACCTAATATTAAAGAACCAAAATTTCTGTCTTTTTTCTATGGTCTATTTTAATCTAGCCAACTGTTCGTCCCACCGGTAGCCAGGAGAGCTCAGAAATCTGCTGGTGGTGCAGACGACGTCGCGACGCAGCCTTTGGAAGACGAGCTGTCATGGAGGTTGGGAGCAGTCGTGCGAAGGCGCTTCTCAAAAGCCTTATTCGTCCTCTCCCGGTGCAGGATCGCACAAGGACGAGAGTTCCGGAGACCTACTCTCCCGATCAAAGGGGCACACAGGTGCTTAGGTTGGAGAGACTATGGCGGCAGCGCAGCAGCGAGAAGAGGCAAAAAACCCTAGATGCATTTTGGCGTTGGCCGATATGCTATATATATAGGACTGTCCGATCCGATCTCGTGTCATGCCCACGATCTAAACCGTTTAAGACTCTTATCTGCAAACTTTAAGGCCATGTAACCAAAACAGCAAAACTAAAACTACAAAAAGAAGTCGCGCCCTCGCAAGGCTCGCCGGATTTCGGTGGACCATTATTCATGCAGGTGTCGCACACTCGTGCTCGCGCCCTTAGCCCCGCCCCACCCGGTGAGGCAAGCGAGCGCATGCGTATGGGCTTCCTTTATCCTCCTCACACTAGACTTGAGAAAGTGGAGAGGACTTTCATATTTAAGCATGGCTACCTCCACTTCCACAAGCAAGGTGGGACTAAACGATTCTCACTCCCACTCTTTGCACATATGAATGGTCCTTTGAGATTTCTCTAGGAATTTCAGAAACAACAATTAAGTCATGGAGTATTACTGAATTAGATGTTCTTCTGCCTGTAACAACCCTAAAAATCACACAGCCAAAACTCCCAACTTCGAAAACCTTTTTCTAAAACCTTGCATGGTGAGTGAGCATCTATAAAGCAACCCTAGATGCACTAGGTGAATCCAACTAGATGGTTGAGCATGTGCATTAACACCAACTTGTGAGTTGCTTCTTATTGGTTCTTATGCTATGTTAATTAATAGAATGATTAATCACCTTTATAAATGAAGTTGTCTTGTGTGTGTCATGTGTGATTCCGCCAGTGATGATGTAATAATTATGGGTAATTCGCTTTATTGTACCCTTCTAAGACAGGTACTCCCTCTATCCCTAAAAAAGAGTCATTCTCTTCCCAAAAAGTCAACAACTTTTAACTTTGACCAAATATATTTAACAAAATATTAATATTTATGGTACATAATTAGTACAACTAGGTAGATCGTTGAATATACTTTCGTAATTGAAAGGATCAAGATGCCCAAGAGCAGGGCGAATTAGGCTAATTTTAAATTTTCTTGCAATAATTAAATCCTAAGGTTAGCTCAATTAACCCCTTGTGCCTAGAAAAGTGTTTCTAATAAACTAACGCACAACGGACTAGCAACCTATGTTCTAAACTTACTCTAGCATGGCAATTCTATGAATATAAAGACAAGTATTGAATTGCTCAAAGTAAATGCTCAAAGTAAATAGAGAGAGAGAAACGCGGCGATGTTTTGCTGAGGTATCGGAGAGTCGCCACTTCCCACTAGTCCTCGTTGGAGCACCCGCGCAAGGGTGTAGCTCCCCCTTGATCCGCGCAAGGATCAAGTGCTCTCTACGGGTTGATTCTTCAACATCCGTCGCGGCGAATCACCCAAAGCCGCTCACAAACTTGAGTTAGGTCACCCACAAGCTCCACTGGGTGATCACCAAGCTCCCAATCACCACCAAGCCGTCTAGGTGATGGCGATCACCAAGAGTAACAAGCATGAACTCTCACTTGACCACGCGAAGCCTAATGAGAAGATGGATGCACACTTGTCTACTCTTGATTCACTAATGAGGCTACTCTCTTGAATTCTCAAATCTCAATCACCTCACTAGGACCTTGCTCTTCTTGGCACTCACAAACGTGTTTCTCAGCTGTTGGAATGAGCAAAAGTAACTCCACACATGAGTGGAGGTTCTATTTATAAGGCAGCCTGAAATACGAACCGTTATATGCCTCTGCGGGGTGACCGGACGCTCCGGTCATGTTGATCGGACGCTTCGGTCAGTTCAACCCGCAAACCAGTGAAAATGTGTTGATCGAACGCTGGCAGCATCCGATCACCCCTGACCGGACGCGTCCGGTCGCATTAAACCCTTACTAGAACCTTACTGTACTCAACCGGACGTTGAACCCCCAGGGTCCGGTCAGTACTGACCGGACGCGTCCGGTCGCAGATTCTCTTCTCTGGAACCTTACTGGAGTGGACCGGACGCTGCCTCTCAGCGTCCGGTCACTTGACCACTCCAGCGTCCGGTCGCACCGAACGCAACCTCTTGATCAAATGAACTGACCGGACCCTGCGGCCAGCGTTCGGTCGCACCAGAGCCAGCGTCCGGTCAGTATTTGACCCTCCATTCACTTCCAACTCTCAAACATATGTGAATGAAGTTTGCTCCATAGGATCATAGGGCTGTTGTGGAGCTACCTAGTGCTAGTTTTAACAAGTGTGCACCACACCTAACTCACTAGACTCATCTAGGTCAAGCTACCCGTCCATACCCCCCTTAATAGTACGGCCAAAGGAAAAATAAAGTCCTAAACTACTCTAAGTGTCGCTCCAACTCCAATCGACACTTAGAACTAGTCATCCTTAACCTTGTCGTCCATCCTTTGAAAACCGAAACAATTTCCATCGTAATCGATCTCCATTACCATGACCTAACTTAATCGCCTCTGCAAAACACACGTTAGTTATAGTAATCTTGTATTGTCATTAATCATCGAAACCCAACTAGGGGCATAGATGCTTTCAATCTCCCCCTTTTTGGTGATTGATGACAATACCACCTCGAGTATGTGAAAGAGTGAGATTTTTACGGACTTGGTTCATATAAGCTTTTGTCGATAAGAACAAAAGTGTTAGTCAAGCTTATATGACCCAAGCCAACACAATGTACTCAAAGGATATGAATTAAGCATGAGTACTAGAAACAAAGCTCATTTGCATCGGAGTATAAACGCGGAAGCAAAGGCAAATGAGCATAACACAAGTGATTTGACATATAAATAAAGTAAAGTAGAGAGCACACATGTCATATATCACAATCACGTAGATATCACTATCACATAGATATAATAGTATGCATGAAAGTAACACACGAATGCATAATAGTAATAGTGTATCACACAAATAAAACTCCAAATGTATATAATAAGCTAATACTAGATAACAAGCTCCCCCTAAACGATGCTCCCCCTGAGTCTACATACTCGAACCCTCTCCCCCTTTGGCGTCAAACACCAAACCCTAAGGGTCGGTCGGCGGGGCTACAGCAGACGAGCCAGGCGTTGAGGTATGAGGGGCAAGCTGGAACTGGGCGCCATCATCATCTGATCCTAAGCTCTATACTGACTGATCCTCTATGGCAGGAAGTGTCGCTGAAGCGGTCTGGGTCTGACCTGGGGCAGGTGCTGCTGTGAAGCTGCAAGAATATCTGTCGTAAGATCTGAAGATGCGACATAAGAAGGGAGCCTCTGAGTAGTCATGACGACAGGAGCTGCTGTAGAAGGACTGACGGCATGCATATGAGGCGGTGTAGGCATGCCGGTCAACTCGCTGAAGGATGCTCCAAGACTCCTGGAGACTGACGTGTCAGGCACAAAAAGCGAGGAAGACTGATCCGGTGAGAAGCCCGTATGATATGGTGTGAATCATGGGCAACCACCGTGAGGACAACCACCGGGACACCAGAATCGTGGGTGAAGAAAAAAAGGAGCCGGAGGCTGTCCTCGACTCTGAAGCCCACCGGGCTGTCTTCTTTGAGTCGTCGTAGTGGTGGTGGTATTTGAAGCAAGCCAGGCGAAAAGCTGTGGCTGTGGGGCCCCAAGTCTTTGTTACTACATCTTTGCATGAATCCCATAATAAGCCGCTTTGCATGAGTAACTCACTGCTGATGCATCTGCTGCCTCTTGCCTTGAAAGAAGCTGCTTCGCCACTAGAACTCATCCCGACGAGCTGAAATCGCAGCAAAGTTGGCGTGCAGCTCTCACATGCTGTCGTGCCTGATCCTGCTGCATCCGCTCAAGAATAGCAATCAAGGTGGGGTCCATCTGCGGTGCAGGTGGAGCTAAGCTGGAACTGCCGGCCTCTGCATCGTGTCTGCGTGGAGGCATTTGAGGAATCGGCTGATAGTCATCATCCGAACTGTCACTGGACTCGGTCAT